TAAGTGATAGTTTGCTTCAGATGTGCTTACTAATAAAACAAAAACCCAGGAAGAGGATAATTTTTGCCTATATACACACATAGCACATCCTTTTATGTGTATGTTTTGTGGGAGGGCTTAGTGTAACCAGAAGGTATTAAAAAGGTTGTGTTTTCCCCTCAGTCTTCAGTTTTTTTGTTTTTTTTTTTAAATCAAATGTATTTTGTATTGTCAAATATAATGGTGGTAAAGGACAGATCTTGTTTTTAGGATTTAGGTGAAAGATGATGGCTTCAAGTATATAATTTAAAGCATTTTTACCCACGGAATACTCTTGGCAGGAATTTTGTCCAAGTAGTGACCAGACATGGCTAAATTCTGCTTTTGATAGCCAAATGACTAACAGCTAAGAAGTGGTTTGGCTGGACTTGAACTATGATTATTTTACACTAAACCAGTTCTGGATTATCAGGGAGGTTATGTGCTGCATGGGCCAAACTTTGAACTTTTTCCTGGCTCATGGGTGTATGCAATATGAGCTGGCAAATCAGACTTGGAGAAATTGTGCTTGCCTGCTGGCAGTATCAGTGCACAGAAAAAATGGTGGCTTTTGCGTTGTAGGGAATATGCTGGAACTGAAACTCTGTGGTTTCCTCCTTTGTATTTTTAAAATGCTTTTGTATAATTTCTTTGCTTTCTGAATACGTATTTCCGACCTATAGCATATGGTGTTGAGTACCTTTCTCTTGTTGCTATGAATCTCATCTCTTCAGCTTTGTTTATTATCGATTTATTAGAGTTACAAAATCATTAAAACTTATGCACATTCATTTTTCCTATTTAAAATGTTTGACTTTATGCTTATTTTTCATTTCTTTAAAGATTACATCATATTCTTTTTTTTTTTTTTTTTTTGAATGATAAAGCAAGTCTTTTTGTTCATTCTTTTGGTCAGGCCCTCCTTAAGCTTTTAAGGCTGGGAAGAAGATGCCTTAATTCATATTTTATTTTTTGATGAATGCAGGGAAAACGTGTTTGTAGGCAAAAATCGTTGCCTTTTTATTTTCCTAAGTGTTTTACAGTTCTCACTTGTCCCTTTGAGACTTGTACTACAGAGTGCCCCTGTATTTCAGGGCTTGTCAAATTTTTCATGATCTGAAGAGTCTTGGTTTCACACATCCTCGCAGTAAGTGATGCAGTATTCTCTCTTAATTTCAATATAATTGTGGCTTTTGATTTGATCACTGCTAATCATCATTTCCTGTGGCACTTCATAGAAATTGGGAGCTCTCTTAAGAGCTGCTGTAGCAAAGATCAAGAAGATTGTGCTCTTACTGCTTAAACTCAACAGTTACTTACACAGTTTATGGCTGTCTCCCTCTTAACACTTGTCCAGTTTTAAAATAAGTTTTGCCAGCAATACTTCTATCATATAAGATGAAATTGTTTGAGATTTATATTGCAAAGATTTTTATTCTGCCATCTTATGTCTGCTATTTTTAAGTATTTAGTCTCTGTGCTATCTTTATTTCCACAAAATGCGGTAGAACTGTATAATGCATCTCAACTCTTAATATACGGCACTGAACTGTTCTTTAGTTAAGCAAATATCTTTAAGAATTGACATGCCTTTTCCTCTTATGTACGAGAAGCCCTATAACATTTTTTTCCCCCACAAACTAGCAGAAAACTTAAACTAGAGTTTGCAATTCAGCTTAAATTTATTATTAAAATTGTATGTTGTGGTAGCCCAGTGGCTTTTCTTGTAGTTCTGCTATGTGAATAGATTGTGAAGGAGGAAGGTTAACACAAGATAAACATTTTCAGAAATAATCCTCGCTGTATAGCGTTGGGAGCACGGTAGTTTACCCTAAGTACAGGAATTAGCAGTAGAATGCAAGTTTCACTAGTTTTCTGAAACTTAATGGACCATTAGTTTTAGGCTATTCCTTTCTTCTTTCCTCAATTTTCCTTATTTGCTTCGTTCCTATTCATTCTTTCTTAGTTTCGTGACTGAGGTTAGTACATCTTTCTGTATTTCTGGAGTTGTGGTACTTTATATGTGCGTTATACTATTTATATTGATTACAAATAAGTAAAACAAACTGTGCTTGCTAAGTTAATTGTATTTGGGAGGGCAGTAGCTCTGGATCATTAGAGGAACAATGATGAAAAATAAAATATTTGTGAAGAGCTTTGGACAGTGATAGAAAACCCAGGAGAAACTCATCTTTGGAGAGTTTTTCTTAAGTACTGGAGAGCAAATGTATGCACGAGACTCTGCAGGAGCCAATTCAAGTGCAGCAGGGTACACTAGATCCAATTTGCAACCATTTCAGCACTGTTGCCTTTGGAGATCTGCTAAAATAGTGCATTGCATCCAGCTTGGATTAGGAGGCTTGGGGTCTGCAACCCAGGAAGGCAGCCAAACTCTGTGCCTGCCCTACCCTGGAGTCCAGTGGTGGGTATGCCCACAGTATTCCTCCTGAGCTAGCAAGTCTGACGGGACTTAGGTGCCTGTGCGTGAAGCCAGCTCCGGAGGGCCTGCACCCTGACATCGTGTCAACTGCTCCCATCATTCAAAGATCAAATGGATGAATGCATCGTGCAGGGATGACTTCTGTAGAGTACAGCTTAACATTTTTTATTAAGACCTTCACTGTAATAGGCATTGGTAGTCATCTGCTTGCCTCGCCTGTGTGATTGGCACATGGAACTCGAGCTATTTTTTTTTTATAATTGTAAACTTAAAGGATAAACCATGCTTATTAATCACTCTAGGTTAAAGAGTTTTATGAGTGCAAAAGATTGCAAATGCAAGAACAGCAACAACTTCTGTAAGGAAAACGTTTATCCGTTTATGTTTCTTAATGCTACTATAAATATACGATTGTTAATTGATGCAGCAAACTTATTTTGTGTTTTTAAATGCTGTCCTTCTGCGAATAAATTACACCTGCAGTTTGTTCCACATAGACACGTGAACAAACAGAAATCTAGCACTTGGGTGTCCATCTGATCTAAATTGAATTTGCGGTTATCTGAAATTGCAAGAAGTTGATCTGAAAGCAGAGATTCAAATTTGGGCTCAGAAGGTAAGCTTTCTAGCAATAAATAGCTTAGCTTTCCCAGTTATTCCTGTTTGAAAGGCTACATGCTTAAATAAGGAGAGGCCTTTCATTAAATAAAGGCCATCTCCTGTTATTCAGCCCCTAAGCAATTTTAAACTGGACTGGAAAGAGCAGTGAAGAAGATGCTGAAGGAGAATAGTCTTGTGTTGTCGTTGCTGAATGCTTCTGACTCAAGATCTGCAGAGAGACTCAATGACTGCAGAGTTCTCCGAAATCCCGAGTACCTTCCAAAGCGGGAACCTCTGTAAGGAGGTGACCTGTAAATCTGTGTGGGCCTCAGTGGGGTGCTTATAAACCCAATGTCTTTGTGCCAGCTAAAAAGTAGATCTAATGTTCAGAATACGCTTTTAGATCAAACCTTGCTTTCTCTGCCAGAGGACTAAAGAGTGGATGGATGCTTTTTTTATTTGTGATGACATAATAAAAATCCATTTGAGGAGAAAATGTTCTATAGTTAATAATATACCACTTACTTAAGTGGTAATATGATCCATTGTGTTAGCGCTAATACTGTGACCAATAATAGGAGATATTGTGTTGCAGGAGATGCCATCTGCTGAATGAAATGTAAAACTGAGGTTCTGACCTCCAGTGCTAGTCTAAAAGGCTCAATAGCAAGAATAGGTATGTTAACCCCAGAATGCTGGATAAATTCCAGATTCAATAACAACATTCTTCCTAAATTTAATTTATAGCTTCATCTGGATGTGCTGTTCTTTTCTGCTTATTCTATTGTGGAGCTTTATTAAAGAGTTGTTGCCTTTTAAATTGAGTGATCTTTTGTATGCGAGTTGCTTTTAAAGGCTTTTGAGTTGTGCCGTCCAAGAGGTGCTAAATAAGTTTTTATACTGTTTAAAAAACAAAACAAAAAACCAAAACCACCCCTCTCAGTTCTTAATGAAACTTTTCAATGAGGTGCCGTCAGAACTCTTATAAAGATGTACATCGTAATAGAAACTAATGGGAACCTGAATTGCTGTTTTTGTAAATAGGCATTGTCTATAGCTACTCTTTAATGTCTATAGCTACGTCTTTAATGATGGTACACGATAATAAAAAAATTAAAATTAAAAAAATTGAAAGAAATATGGGAACCATGAAAGGCTTTTTGGACGTATATACAAACAGTCATACTGTAATACTACTTTATCTTTTTTCATTCAAGTATACCAGTAACAGCATACATTTGTTACAGAGGCGTGGATAACACAACTGAGAACAAAGTATCCTATAGCCATATAGGAACTTGGAACTAGGAACCAAGGGACTGTATGTGCACAAACTCTTGCACCTGTATGCAGTTTCTTGCACAACTGGAGCCTGTGTCTGTAGAGTTAGCCTACTTTGCAGGCTTTCTGCGAAGTATGTTTCTAGTCTGAATTTGATATTAAGAAATCTTGTGTTAAGTGCCAGTTCTGCAAGCTAAAGCTAGGGTTTTGGACATATGACTTCTGTCTTCTCTTTTTTGCTGGCATGTGATCACTTTTATGAATGTATTTAACATGCAAACACAGGTATCTGGTAACTCATTAATTATTTAACAAGTTAAATTAACTAGGTCTTAAGAATTTAAAGTTAATGTTCAAGAAAATTCCTGTCCTTCTCTAGTAGCTCTAATGATTGCTTTATTAATACCTACTATGTGAGTACTGTGTAGTGTGGTTTAAGTAGTTTTGTATTCTTCCTTGAGAGGAAGCAAACTTTGAATTCAACAGTGCTTTCATTCATTTTTTTCTCTTGATGAATGTGTATTTTTTTTTTGTTAAAAGTATTAAATTACTAAATGATTTGAAAAGTCTCTTTTCAAAATAGTTGAACTATATAACAAATCTAAAATGACAGTGGAAAAACGTATGATTGCTAAATTTTAATACTATGGATTTTGTGTAGATCGCGATCAAGACCTCGTCAACGTTCTTATAGTCGAAGCAGTGAAAGATCCGGTCATAGGAGAACACATAGCGGGTCTCGTGAAAGAGAACGGCGTAAAGGCAGAGAGAAAGAGAAAGGCAAAGGCAAAGAGAAGGAGATATGTGGCACGAAGCATGGGTAAGTGCAATGACAAATGATGTAACTGTAATAAGTTCAGGAATGATTTAGTGTTCTCTTACTCTTCTGGTAATTGACTGCTTTATAGTACCTGATACTTTGTATAAACTTAATGGAATTATTTAAAAGTTTTGAATCACATGATTCTTAGCATTTTAAAATCCTGGAATCTGGCATCATTGTCAACTAAATGATGGTTTAATTTACCATTCCTTCTTTTAAACTTGCTTTGCAAATAATCTAAATAGCTTTTCTTCAATTGATTAATATAATTCATTTTCTAATACATAGTAACTACGTTTTAAGGAAAAAGTGAGTCCTGCTGGGAAGTAAGAAGACAATTTCCTATGAAGGGATTGTTTTCACTGTGATTCTTTTCTCTCCCATTTCTATTTTGGCAGAAGTTTCTACTGGGCTTCATTTGTGACTCAAAGTATAGTTATATTAGAAGTACTTGCTATGGGTGAATGATGGACTACTTTTCAAAACATACTGCCAGCCTAATTTTTGCTTTGAACGGCTTGGATCGTTGGTAGTAGTTCTGCAGATTTCGGAAAGGCAATTTATGTAATTACCTCTGCTTTATACGTCTTGATCTCCTGCAACCTTTGCTGTGTTGTTCAGCTTTTCCATATTTATATGATTGGCTTCAGAAGGGAAAAGACGCTTATGTATTGAATGCTCTTCATGAGTTACCCATTGGTTGATTCCCACTGAAATGCTTAATGGAAATTTCTAGAGTAGCGCACTCCACCCATGTTCATGGAGGTGTCTCACAATTACCTTCCCGGTTATGTGTCTCTGGCTATATTCATTACTTAGTTCCTGAGATATTAGTACCCACTTGTCCATGGTTTCAGTACCGATTACGTGAAGCTACAGGATTAGCTATTTTAATATAACAATTTTATATATTAATATTTTATTATTTGTAGTACATTACTGAAACTGCTTGGAACTTCTAGTGCAGTGTCTTCCATTCAAGTTAAGAGAGATTTTTCCCTTTTTACTAAACCACAATGGAATATTCGCCTGTTCTTGTTGGTGATGTTTTCAGCAATCAGTAGCATTCAGTGTAAACAGAACCTTTGAGATGTTTGCAATACGTTTGATAAGTCATAAACAAGATACCTATTTAGCTGAAGCTTGAATATGTTTTGATATTTCTGGAGGACTTGAGAAGCGTGAATGTGCAGCCAAAATTGTTATTGGTTGTGGTTTGTTTTTTTAGTAGATTCTAGTGCTCCGAACAGGGAAAGAATCCATACTGAGCACATAATGTTTCGTGTGTGTGCGAGTTTTTCTGGACTTTGTGTAGAAGCACATCTTAAATCATGTTGGAATATATTCCAGTGTTTTATTAGCATGCTGCCTGACTTTTTATCCTTTTATAATAAGGATCAATATTAGATTGCTGTAAGAAGAACTTTGAAGTGCCCAGAATTTTTTGGAAGCAAGCAGTTTATTTACCTTTATATTTTGATAACTTTCAAAATTGCTTATGCTAAATGTGAAAACAAAATGCCCTGTTGGGGTGATTTCCAAGGTAGTTAGGAGAAAGAGTACGAATTAGAGTAGAAGCATTTGATGGCATCAGTCCGTTTTCCTCGGAGCGCAGGTATGGGCTGGTAGGCTTTGTCACTGATGTTTTTACTTGGAGCTTTATTAGACTACAAAATGAAATGTGCCCAGGATGATGTTGATATAATCTGTGCTTCATAAACTTTTCTGAGGGGGACGTGTTTTTCAGTTTAATCAAATAGTGATCAAAGTATATCTGTACAGAGAATATGGATCTGAGAAGCTTTTTCCTTTTACAGTTATTTGTCATTCAGAGGATTTAGACTGTATCAGCATCATGTTACTGTTTGTTAAAGGCTTTGGAGAGCAACGCGTCTGAATACGCAGAGAAGACAGAGCTCTTTGATGCAATGCTGTTTGATTCTGAGATTCTCAATCTAAATGCTGTTGTAGTACGGTACTAATGTAATATTAACTACGCAATTAACGATCTACTGAAAGTTCTGTTCTGGACCCAAGCAAGAGTGGATTAGTAACTTCCTGTTTTCCTTCCTAAATGCATGTGTGTTGGAACAAAGGGCATTGGAGCGCAGTTTTTCTTTGACTTATGTATGCTCTAGGAGAATAAGGCCAAGTAAGAGGTTTTATAGCTGTGTGTTTTGTATGGGGCTTCCGCAAACCTCCTAAGTTCTCAGCTTCCTTCATCTCTATCATTTGTTTATTTACTTATTTATTTATTTTCTTCCTGATTAAAAAGCATGCGAAAGAATTCTGAGACCTTCGTGGCCAAGGAAGCCCGGCTGTCCTCCCTCGTGTATTGGTGCACGGGAAGGAGGGTGACACAGCACAAACTGCGTGAACTTTTGTCGTTATAGTGTATTGGCCTCTGGCATTTTTTGGCTTTGTTTTTCATAGCAGCAGTGAGATTTGGTTGTGTGCTTGTTCTGTCTCGGTGCTAATTTCTAAGGCAAGTCCCAAGAGACAAGTTTTTTGTTTGCCGGTAGCTTTAAAGCCATTCATTGGCTGTAGTCAGCAGAAGGTAACAAGTTGATTGGTTTTGCTGATCTTTTTTAAGGGTATGTATTTTAGGGTTGTTGTGTTGTAGTGCTGTCAAGCGTCCTCTGGTAGGTGTGGCTATTAATATCAGTCTTACTATAGCTGTTGCCACCGCGATCGAGTGTCATAGCAGATGCTGTGACTGTTGCTAGCCTGCTTCGGTGCACAAGTTTGCTGGCTTGACTGGGATGTCCCTGCTCTCCTGGCTCACTCGTGCTGAGCGAGACCGGGATGCACTAAACCGGCTGCCCCATCCTCATCTGCAAGCGAATAAACAGCGGCTAGAGGACACCTTCTGCCTCTCTATCTGCTTCCAGACTTTCTCTTTTGTTTTGTTTTAAGATGGATCTGGTTTGGACAAGGAGAAAATAGTTTGATTTGGGTGGTTTTGTTGTTGTTGCTGTTTTTGTGGAGGATTTTTATTTTTTTTTATTTTTTCTTCCCCCTCCCCCCCCCCGGCCTAGTCTGCTGTAACTAACCCAGTCATGGTGTTGGTCATCTCAACTTATCGTTCAAAATTTTGTCCTTGAAGTGTGGGGAAGAAAGTCTTAAGTTGACACCAAAAATGATTGTCAGGTGTATGTCTGGATGTGACATTTTTGAGAGGAATTAGTTGTAGATCACAGTGAATGAATGAATTTGCTGTCTAGATCAGCAGTGAAAGCAAGAGTATTCTGCATAGCCTTTCTAGAAACTCTAACAGCAGGGCATCCATAGAGGGGGAAAAAATAAACCTCTGACCTCTGTAGATGAAATAAATTATTATATTTACTCTATATAAAGAAAAATCAAGCACCAGCACTAGTTCTCAGGTTATATTGATCTATATTTGGAATATATTCATTGAAAGCTACTTTAAAGTTAAAATGAAGATCATCCTGAAGCTGAGTTGTCAGAAGACAGAATGTAAATTATCAAATGCTGGTTGACTTTATGGTTTCAACTTCACATAAAAGAAGTGTTTCAGGATCAAAGTCCCTTATTTTCTTGGCACAGGTATGTTGTTCAATGGCTACATCTCTTCATGCAGTGACTGAGATAGCTATATTGGGAGAATTAGAGTGTGGACTCAGTCTTTGAAAAGTCAACACTTATTACAGGGCACTTATCTTTGTTATTGCTTATCAAAAGTGTATAAAAGGGAGAGGAGGATCGTATTATGAAGATTCCCTTTGTATGTTACGCTGTGTGAGAGAATTGCATTTTTGACACCACGAATCAAGGCGCTTAGGAGAGCACAGAAACTTTTTCTTACCTGATGTCAAAAAAGAATTAAATCTCGCTTGCAAGCCAGCAGGTGCCAAAACCATCAGCATTTGATCAGAGCTCAACAGAATAACTGTATTGCTATATATATTCAGAAAGCCTGATAAGTAAAAGTTTTAGGGGAACACGGATGGTAAGGAGTAGAACCAAACCTCAGGAGCCTAAGAACATTTACCCAGGTTTGGAACGTTTTCCTACTCTGTATGTGATCTGATGTAAATACATATTTCTCCCTCCCCAACTCCCCAAATCTTCTCATTCATTCCAGTCTTTAAAATGAGACCAAAGAAAACAAAGTAAAATAATAAATGAGGCACCAAGGCTTCAATTAGACAGTTTCCGCTACTTGACAGTCTTCGTTACTTTAGTCTCTACTTGTAGTATATGTATTTTTATGCTTGATTCTTGGGCTTATTCTTGGGAAAAAAAAAAAATTAATATTTAAAAGAATATGGATTAGCTCCAAAAAGGAATTTAGTCAATTATTTAATCAATTAAACTAAATATTTTTAGCTTTATCTTACTGTTTTCAGTGTTTTTACTTGTTTATACTTTCTTTCACCAGAAGTAAATTTCATCTGTTACTTCTCAGTTTGCAACGATACTTGATAAAATTATTGAAGGGAGCAGAGACTTTAAACTGGTTCTTTTCTGCCTTCTCTAGTTTCATGTTCTATGGGCATTAAGATTTTTGCATATTTCTCTGCCAGAGTAGCTATATGCTCCCTCACCTCATATATGAGGGAAAATCTCAAAATTGATTTTTTCCCTCTGTTCATGCAATTTTCCTCTGTTCAAGCATGGGCTTGTCAACACTGTGGTTTGTCTGATATAGGTAATAGTATATTTGGGGCTTGACTGTTCATCTAAAGTGTAGGATCAAAATGCACTTTTCCCACTAATTAAAGAGTAAACGTTTTTACTTGTCTATGGCTCATGTAAGCTGCAATGATAACTTGCTTTTCTTTACTTGAATTGTGTATGTTTCTAGATGTAAGGGGGGGGAAAGGCTTCTGTTTTTGTTTTTAGATCAGAGCAACTTTTAAATTCTTTAAAAGTAGATACTTTCTTCACCATAAAAACCTCAGGAGAGATTTCAAGAGTAAAATCTTCGGCCCTTGTCGTCCAGTCTCAGGCTTCTTGGCATTCTTCATTTC